CTGAGCAGGCGGCAGTGCTGGTCCCAGGGCTCCGCACCCCTGGCCGGGTCCTCCTGGCTGGCCATTCTCGCCCATTTTGTCCTGTCCTCAACACACGTTTGTAAAACTCATGTGAAGTGCACGTAACATACAATTCACCACCTTGACGATTTTGAAGTGCACCATTCAGAGGCTTAGGACAGTCACCATGTCGCACCACCAGCTGATCTAATCAATCCCCGTTCTCTCAGTTCCCTCGGATCGCTCACTTCTCTCCTTCTCTCAATTTGCCTAAGAGCCGAGCCTAGTCCCAAAGTGCCCAGCCTCGTCCAGGAGGTTGGAGCTGGCGTAGCCCCAAGGAGTGGAGCTGAGGCCTGAAGAGGTGGAGCTGGTCCCGAAATGGTGCGCCTACACCCGGAGCCCAACGTAGCCCGCAGCCCGGTAGAGCTGAGCCCGGACCCGAAGGGCGGAGCCAAGACCCTCAGAGCACCTGGCTCAGGTGGGCTGTTCCATAGAGAGGGGTGGTGTAAATGATTCAGCTCAGGTGCACCCCGTAAGAGCGTGCCCGAGGCAAGCGCCTTCCTTTCGGGCTCAGTGTGATCGCAGACCTGGCCAGACCACTGCTTCCAGTTCTAAATCCTGGGAGGCGCTGACTGACTATCCAGCCAGTTAACTTTCCCTGCCAACAGCCAAGCAAGCTCATCTCACAGACTCAGAACACTCCCGCAGGCTACGAAGTTCCCACCTGTTTTCTATTGAAGTGAGACCCTTCTTTCTCCACAGGCCACATTGCCCCCTGGTGGGCAGTTAAGCCACCTACAGAGACATTTTTAGCTCTTAGGTTGGGGGATGGTCGCTTCTGGCAGTGGCCCCAGGTCCCAGATGTGTATGAACCTGGTCCTGAGCAGTAAGAATTCTCCTGGGCTGATTTCTGAGTGTCTGCTGGGCATTTACATAGGAAACAAACCTGTTTATAATATCTGAGCTTAGGACTTACCTGCATCACTTTACATCTGACCCAGAGGGTTTTTTATACCAAGTTTTCCAAGAATGCAACTACTTTATAAATTGGTGGAAATGTGTGTGTGTATATATAATTTTGATCTTTCATGAGCTCTGTCCTTGCATTTCTGAAAAGCATGCCCGCAGTGGCTGCAGCGTTTGAGTTGCCATCCCAGCCCGCGGATACCTCGGGCGTCTGCAGGGTGATTCCGTGGGTGGGTCAGAGTATCTGCCGATTTCAATACGTCCCCTCACGCCCTGTGTCCCTGACCTGGAATCCAACCCGCATCCTCTTGGTGCATGGGACAACGCTCAACCACCCGAGCCACACTGGCCAGGGCTTCCCTTTAAATCAGCCCGCCCTGCACCCTGTGGCGAGCATCTGAGTTGCAGTCGGTGTCTGTGGGCATCACCTCCCATTCTGAGCATCTCAGGGAGTTAGACTAGAAGGGTCTCTGCCTATTTCGTGACACACAGCTTCCTAACACACAGGTTCTCTGTGTGGAGACAGTGTCTGCTCCTGCTGAGACAGGGAAGCAGCAAACCTGCTCCGGCTCTCAGCCAGTCACTGGCCCCGGGGGCACCGAGCAACCAGTGAGCTCATGGCTCTTTTCTGTCTGTTTCCTGCCCTGTTGCCCTTCACACTTTGGCCAGCAGGACTGTCCTGTGGGAAGGAATGGGGGCCTGTTCTTGTCTGCATGAGTTTCACAGGCCGTAGTCCCCTTCGCCCTCCTCCCCCGCATAGTGGGCTTCAAGAAGCTTCCCTGAACCAAGGCTTTACTCTCCTTCGAATTCCACGCAGGGAGTGACGGTGTCTGCTCCTGCTGAGACAGGGAAGCAGCAAACCTGCTCCGGCTCTCAGCCAATCACTGGCCCCGGGGGCACCAAGCAACCAGTGAGCTCATGGCTCTTTTCTGTTTCCTGCCCTGTTGCTCTTCACACTTTGCCCAACATGTCTCTCCTGTGGGAAGGAATGGGGGCCTGTTCTTCTTGTCATGAGTTTCACAGGCCGTAGTCCCCTTCGTCCCCCTCCCCCGCTTAGTGCAGCCCTGGTGGGCTTCTAGAAGCTTCCCTCAACCAAGGCTTTGCTCTCCTTCGAATTCCACACAGGGAGTTGGTGGCCGGAAGCAGCTGGCGATATGGGCGGTGTCCTTGGCCCCTGGTTTTAGCAAGAATCCTGTTGGGTTGGTTTAGTGACAATCCCTTCTCCTGAGTTGATATCTGATGAAATTGCTCACTCCCATCCGTGATATCTGATCACCTGGCCTGCCCTCAGCCGGAATCCTGCTCAGTCTGTGCACTGTGCCCTTTAAAACGCCCTATTCCCCTGCTTCTTCAGCATCCGCATGGGCCAGCTGCCCAGGACCGCCAGTGTGATACGGTGGTCACGGCCTCAAGTTCCTCTACCTGCCCCCTAAAAGTGTCATCCCTGATGCCTGTTTTGTGTACCCCGCCCTGACCCCCAATAAAGGTCCTTGCCCCGGGTCTTCTCTGCCCTGTGACCTCCTCTTGACCCCTGTCTCTCTGGGACTAGTGAGTAGAAGAAACTTTGTTTTCTCCTGAGCCTCCCCTCTGCCTCCTTTAGGGGCCGCACCTGGCTGACTGTCTCATAGAAGAACCCAAAACCCCTCGTTCTGATGTTTCCTCAGCAACTTCCCATCCATAGACCCCGCCCTGCTCCTTGGCTAGTAATCTCTTCCTGTCCTTGTTGGATATCTTGCCGCTGCTACTACCCTCCTGCAGGGCCCCCTGAATAGATCTGCCTTGTTGTCCTCAATAAGGGTCATGCACTGCTTTTTCTTTAGCCCCCAGGAGCGGAGACCGATGGACCTCAGGTCTGCAGCAGTAACTTCACGTTTGACATCTTCCAGGCTACGTGTGCTGTCACAGGCTCCTTACTTAAACCGCAAAGAAACTGTGTGGGTCACGCGGTCATGCTCCCTTTCAGAAGTGGGGACCTGGGCTCAGAGAGGCCAGGGCACTTCCCCAGGCAAGGACAGCACTTCTCTCTAGCACCGCTGCTGCTCAGGGAGGGGTGGGTGTCTCGGAAGCGGGAGGTGGTGGAGAGAAGGGGTAAACAAAGATGTATTTGCAAGCTGAGGGCAGAATCTCACAGCGGAGTGCACCGGAGTGAGTCGCCAGCGCTGAAGAAGAGCCAAGGAGGCCGCTGGACCCACTCGGAGGATACTCCCGTTACTGCAAGGTCTCCAGGGCCATGCTGCTTTGCGGGCCATTGGATGCAAAGTAAGTTATGAGTCACTGCTACAAAAAGGCAAATAGAGCCAGACCGGTTTGGCTGAGTGGATAGAGCGTCGGCCTGTGGACTGAAGGGTCCCAGGTTCAATTCCGGTCAAGGGCATGTACCTTGGTTGCGGGCACATCCCCAGTAGCAGGTGTGCAGGAGGCAGCTGATCGATGTTTCTCTCTCATCGATGTTTCTAACTCTCTATCCCTCTCCCTTCCTCTTTGTAAAAAAATCAATAAAAAAAATATTTTTAAAAAGGCAAATAGAATGAGATAAGCCCTGCCTGCTCTGGATTTTCAAACAAAGGGCACATCTCATTTCAGCACCTTTTTTCCTATGCAAATGACTTGGATTGCTGGCCTGTGTGCATCTCGGGTCCTCAGGGAGCTGAGGGAGACTTTAATTCTTTATCAGAAACAGCTGAGTCCCCATGTGAAGGGGCTGCGCTCATCTCAGAATCATTACAAGTTCACATGCTGTTTCCCAAATAATAACTGTCCTCAGAAATCTTTTTCCCCCCAAGAAACTTCTGTTTTGCTGGGCTCACAGCTCAGCTTTAAGATGTCCCGGATTCTACATGATCACACGGACACACACACTCTCTCCATTCGCATGGGGATGAGGACGGCAGCGAGAAAGGGGTAAAAGGAATAGACATCCCACCCTCCCTCCTGCCCTCTGCCCAGGGCCTTGGCACCTCTCCCCTCCCCCCACCCCCAACTTCCCTTCCACCAGGAGCTGATGGCCTGCCTGGGACTGACTCACACCCCACCTGTCTTCGGGAAGATAAATCAGGAAACCGCTCTCTATAGACGGACAGAATCTGCCATCACCTTGAAACGCCAAGAAAAACAACATAGTCTCGCGTCTTCTCCTTTGTAAGGAGACCTAACCTCACCTGAAGGATGATCCCTCCTTGTTCTCACTAAAAATCTTGCAGAATCTGAATACAGCCGCATTTGATAACGATGTACAGGACCCACAGAAGTTTCTGAAATCTCTCCCCACGCGGCGGGCGCTGCATTATCACTTTTCACCACTAGATGGTGCAGCAGGGCCCTGACCAGTCCCCCCAGCAAGGCAGCTCCCACCAACCCGAGTGTGAGCTCTCCAGTGAGGCCAAGGTTTTGATGAGAGAGGCCCTGGAGGTGATAGAATATCGATTTCTTGGAGGAGGAGGAGCACACAATTCCATCCACTGCAGTAGCATCGCCAGGGGGTGGAGAGTTGGGGCTGTGGTGGTCCCTAAATTCTGGCTCATGACTTGAAATACTTTCCCGTTTGTGTTTCCCACTGCACCTCCCGAGCGAGCGGGCGAGGCTGTGAGGCCGGGGTGTCTGTGGGTGTGGCCTCCTACGTGCAGGGCCGCCAGGGTTGGGAAGACAGGGAGGAAACAATGGGAATCTAAACCAGAACTGGCCTTCCAGGTGGTCATAAAGGCGTATTCCCTCTCGTTAGCTTTAGTCACATACTTCATTTATGTATTTAATTTTTAAAAATTTTTTTTATTGATTAAGTTATTACATATGTGTCCTTATCCCCACATTACTCCCCATCCCCCCACTCATGCCCTCATCCCCCTGTTGTCTGTGTCCATTGTTAGGCCTATATGCTAGCATGTAAGTCCTTTGGTTGATCTCTGCCCCTTACTAGTCACATACTTTGAATACTTACACAGGAACGTGAGCGTCCGATGTAAGTCCTTTGGTTGATCTCTCCCCCTTACTAGTCACATACTTGGAATACTTACACAGGAACGTGAGCGTCCAGTCCTCTTCTCTTTACCAAGGCCTGTGAAGCTGGCCTCCCTCTCTGATCGGAGGGTCTTGGGCATCATTCTCCGCCCAGACCACTGCGCTCCAGCTCCCTAGCCAGCCCCATCAACCCCCCTCCTCGGGCTGTTTCCTGGGACACACCCAGCCCTTTGCTGCCCCAGGACCTTTGCCTCGGCTTTCCACCAAGCCTGTCTTGTCCTCCAGGAATTGGTTTAAACGTTGCCATCAGAGAAGCTGTCCCTGACCAGTCAGTGGAAAGTAGTTCCCACCCCCACCCTCTACTGTCTTTCATTTCACCCTATTTGAATCGCCTGCACTTACACCAGGGGGACAGCAAACCTTTCCGTAAAGGGCCTGGTGGTCTCTGTTGGGACTCCCATGCATCCAGAAACCAGCCATAGACAGTAGTCAGTGGGTATGGCTGTGTTCCAATAAAACTTTATTTTTAAAAACAGGGGGTGAGTTAGCTTTGGCTCATAGGCCATCGCTTGCCAACCCCTAATTCACCCTGTTGTGCATTTTTCTTATTTGTTTATCGGCTGAGTCTTGCCCCGTTTGTTCACTGTGGTCTCTCTGCTGCCTAGAACAGTTCTTGGCATATGAGACATTATGAATATCTTTTAAATGAATACTATTTGGTATCCGTTTTGCTCTTTGAAGCTCTGATGAATCTTGGTTTCCAGTTTCCTTTCTTCCAGCAACTTCCCCCCTGGAAATGGAGCTTTCACTTTCTCCTCAGGAAAGATGACTGAACACCCGCTGACTGACAGGGGCGAGCCTGCAGCAGCCTGGGAACGCCAGATAAGTGGAGGGGTGACGCGCTTTCCGCACGTGGCAGGATGCAATTACAACCTGCGCGGATGGAGCAGCAACTTTTAATTATGCAAACGCAGCTTGCGTGTGAGTTTTTAATTCCGGGCAAGTCCCCAACTTTGTCCTCTTCTCCAAAATATTCCTGGGCACCTTTCTCACTGCCTCCTCTTGGGCTTAGTAAAAGCAATTACTTTTAATATCAGCTTGTGGACAATCTGATTAGAAGGACAATCAAACAAAATAAAAATAAGCCAGCTCCCCACACCTCCTGAAATTAGGATCTTAAAATCAGGTAAGAATGGGACTCGCACGGCTAGTGAAATGGATGCTGATGGAAGTGTAAGTGCCCTCCCCTCCCCGTCACAGCAAGCAGCCCTCCTCAGGAGGAGTCCCGCAGGCTTGGAGGGCGGACCTGGGCTTTGCTTAGAGGTGGGGGGAGCACAGTGGAGAGTAGGAGGGTCAGGCAGCTCTTTTTTTGTAAAAGGGTTGTACCTGCCCCGCTGGTGTGGCTCGGTGGTTGAGCACCAACCTATGAACCAGGAGGTCACAGTTTGATTCCCAGTCAGGGCACATGCCTGG